AAGTGGCCATTATGGACCAGGTGAAGTGCAAGCTGACATTCTGAGTTGAGTGAGGAGCATGGGGGAAATGTGCAGAGAGAAGCAGACATGTAGTGTAGATGAGCCATGTTAATGGTAAAGCTCTAGAGCAGAGGTCCATGCCTCATCCAGAATTTTCTTGCAGCTCCAGGCTTAATGAGCTCTTACATGCTTGACTTCCTGCCCTTGCATTTCTGACTTTTGATCTAGCTCGACTAGGTTTCTGTTCCTTGCACCCAAAAGAGCCCTAATCCAAACAACCCTTTATATAGGTTTGCACTTTGGCTCTCTGAGGTGAGTATACTTTCCCTTATTTTATAAATGAAGAAACTGAAGCTTAGTGAGATTAAGTTGACTAAGGTAACATAACCAGTAGGTGATGAAGCTAGTCTATCGATTCTCTTACGGTCTTTTTAAGACATTAATATGTTATTTTTTTAAAATCACCATAAACTTGTTATAAAAAAATAAAAGAAAAATAATCAATACAGACATGATGTATTTGACCCTCAGTCAGCTCCTCTGACTCTGTTCTAAGCATACTAAACTCCAGCCCGGCCAGTGTTGCTCAGTGGATAGAGCATCAGCCTGTGGACTAAAGAGTTCCAGGTTCAATTCCAGTCAGGGGGCACATGCCCAGGTTGCAGGCTCTATCCCCAGTGTGGGGAGTAGATCATTTAAAGAATTAATACCTATCCTTCTCAAAATATTCCAAAATATTAAAACGGCAGGAATGCTTCCAAACTCATTCTATAAGGCCACCAGTACCCTGATACCAAAATCAGATATAGACACTACAAAAAAAAAGAAAATTACAACCCAATATGATTGATGAACATAGATGCAAAAATTCCCAACAAAATATGAGCAAACCGAATTCAACAATACACTAAAAAGATTATATGCCATGATCAGGTAGGATTTATCCCAGAGATGCAAGGATGTTTTAGTATCCACAAATCAATAAATGTGATACACCACATCAACAAAACCAGGGAAAATTTTCATATGATTATCTAAATAGATGCAGAAAAAACATTTGGCAAAAATTCAACATTCATTTGTAATGAAAACTCTCAACAAAGTGGGTACAGAGGAAACTTACTTCAACATAATATGTGAAACCCACACTTAACATTGTATTCAGTGGTGAAAACCTGAAAGCTTTTCCTCTAAAGTCAGGAACAAGAAAAAGTTGCCCACTCCCATCACTCTTATTCAATACATTCCGACAAGAAAAAGCAATAAGAGGCATTCAAATTGGAAAGGAAGCTATAAAACTGCCACTCTATGTAGATGACATATACTATATATAGAAAACCCTAAAAACTGCACAAAAAATTATAAGAATAAATGAATTCAGCAAAGTAGCAGGATACAAAATTAATATACAGAAATCTGTCACATTTTTATTCACTTATAACAAGGAGAAATTCAGACTACATTTATAATCACATCAAAAAGAATAAAGTACCTAGGAATACACTTACCAAAGGAGGTGAAAGGCCTTTACTCTGAAAACGATAGGTCACTAAAGAAAGAATTTGAGCCTTAACCGGTTTGGCTCAGTGGATAGAGTGTCAGCCTGTGGACTGAAGGGTCCCAGGTTTGATTCCGGTCAAGGGCATGTACCTTGGTTGCGGGCACATACCCAGTAGGGAGTGTGCAGGAGGCAGCTGATCGAAGTTTCTCTCTCATTGATGTTTCTAACTCTCTATCCCTCTCCCTTTCTCTCTGTAAAAAATCAATAAAATATATTTAAAAAAAGAATTTGAAGAGGACATAAATAAATGGATGGATATATTGTGCTCCTGGATAGGAAAGATAAATATCATTTAAATATTCATACTACCCAAAGCAATCTACAGTCAATACAATCCCTAAAAAATACCAATGGCTTTCTTCTCAGAACTAGAAAATACAATGTTAAAATTTATATGGAACTACAAATGTCCATGACTAGTCAAAGCAATCTTGAGAAAGAAGAAAGTTGGAACTATCATGCTCCTGGATTTAAAGCTACATAACAAAGCTATAATAATCAAATCAGTATGGTACTGGAATGAAAAACAGACTCATAGATCAATGGAACAGAACGGAGAGCCCAGAAATACATGCAAAAAATGAAACTGGATCACTGTCTTACACCATTTACAATAATAAACTCAATGGATTTAAAGACTTATGACCTGAAACCATGAAACTCCTAGAAGAAAATAAAGGAAGTAAACTCTTTGACATCAATCTTAGTATTATCTTTCTGGATATGTCCCCTCAAGCAAGGGCAACAAAAACAAAACCAAATGGGACTACATCAAACTAGAATTCTTCTGCACAGTGAAGGAAACCATCAACAAAATGAAAATAACCCCACAACCTACTGAATGGGAGAATATATTTGCCAATGATACATCTGATAAGGGGTTGGTAACCAAAATATATAAGGGACTCATGTATTCCAATAACCAGAAAATAAACAATCTGGTCAAAAAAATGGGCAGAGGACATGAAGAGCCATTTCTCTAAAGAAGATATACAGATGGCAAATAGACATATGAAAAGATGCTTAACAGCACTAATTATCAGTGAAATGCAAGTCAAAACCACAATGAGATGCCACCTTGTACCAGTCAGAATAGCTATTATCAAAAAGTCAAGAACTAACAAGTGTTGGTGAGGATGTGGAGAAAAGGGAACCCTTGTACTATTGGTGGGAATGCAGATTGCTATAGCCACTATGAAAAACAGTATGTAGATTCCTTCAAAAAACTCAAATAGAACTACCATTTGACCCAGCAATTCCACTTCTGGGTGTTTATCCAAAGAAAACAAAAACACTAATTCAAAAGATATATGCACTCCCATGTTCATTTGCAGCATTGTTTACAATAGCCAAGATATGGAAGCAACTTAGGTATTCATTGATAGAATACAATGGAATATTACTCTGCAATAAAAAGAACAAAATGTTGCCATTTGCAATAGCATGGATGGATCTAGAGGGTATTATGCTAAGTGAAATAAGCCAGACAGACAAAGACAAATACCATATGATTTCATTTATATGTGGAATCTAAAAACAAAAGAAACAAAAAGACAGACTCATAGAAACTGATGATTGCCAGAGGAGAGGCAGGTGGGAGGAATGGGTGAAAAAAGTGAAGGGAAATATAGTCCATCTTGTGATAACTTTTCAAGGTGACAGATGATTACTAGACTTAGTATGGTGATCATAACTCATATATAAGGAATATAAAACGTTAAATCACTATTGTATACCTCAAATGAATGTGATATTGTATATCAAATAAAAAATGTCTAATACCATGATTTTTAGTAAATTTACAGAATTGTGGTTTCATCACCTCAATCTATTTTTAGAACAGTTATATTATTCTCCCTCATGGACCCTTAATCCCAATTCCCATCCTGAACTCCAAGTAACCATTAACCTAGTTTCTGTCTCTAATATATTTGCCTTTTCTAAACGTTTCATATAAAGAAAATCATATGATATGGAGTCTTTTGCCTTTGGGCTCTCTCAGCATAATGTTTTTGAGGTTCCTCCATAACGTTGCATATTTCAGTAGTCCTTTCCTTTTAATATGGAATAATGCTCCATTTTAGGGCCCTATGACATTTTGTTTATTTGGCCACTGGATGATGTATACTTGAATTTTTTCCATAGTGTGTCTATTGTGATGTTACTATAAACATTTATGCCAAAAATTTGAGTGAACATCTTTCCATTTTCCATGCTTTGCTACTAAGAGTGGACTTGCTGCATAATATGATAAAATTGTTTTCTTTAACTTGTTAGGAAATGGCCAAGCCATTTTCCAGAGGCTGCATTATTTTACGTTTCCACCAGCAATGAATGAAAATTTCTTCGGGGGCACATGCCCAGGTTGCAGGCTCTATCCCCAGTGTGGGGAGTACAGAAGGCAGCTGATCAATGCAACCTTCCAAGATGGGATCAGGCAGAAACAGAGAACCTAAACAGATGGATTACTAGCAACAAAATTGAAGCAGTAATAAAACAAAAACTCCCAACAAACAAAAGTGCAGAATCAGATGGCTTCAGAGTTGAATTCGATCATTTAAAGAAGAATTAATACCTATCCTTCTCAAAATATTCCAAAATATTAAAACGGCAGGAATGCTTCCAAACTCATTCTATAAGGCCAGCATTACCCTGATACCAAAATCAGATATAGACACTACAAAAAAAAAGAAAATTACAACCCAATATGATTGATGAACATAGATGCAAAAATTCCCAACAAAATATGAGCAAACCGAATTCAACAATACACTAAAAAGATTATATGCCATGATCAGGTAGGATTTATCCCAGAGATGCAAGGATGTTTTAGTATCCACAAATCAATAAATGTGATACACCACATCAACAAAACCAGGGAAAATTTTCATATGATTATCTAAATAGATGCAGAAAAAACATTTGGCAAAAATTCAACATTCATTTGTAATGAAAACTCTCAACAAAGTGGGTACAGAGGAAACTTACTTCAACATAATATGTGAAACCCACACTTAACATTGTATTCAGTGGTGAAAACCTGAAAGCTTTTCCTCTAAAGTCAGGAACAAGAAAAAGTTGCCCACTCCCATCACTCTTATTCAATACATTCCGACAAGAAAAAGCAATAAGAGGCATTCAAATTGGAAAGGAAGCTATAAAACTGCCACTCTATGTAGATGACATATACTATATATAGAAAACCCTAAAAACTGCACAAAAAATTATAAGAATAAATGAATTCAGCAAAGTAGCAGGATACAAAATTAATATACAGAAATCTGTCACATTTTTATTCACTTATAACAAGGAGAAATTCAGACTACATTTATAATCACATCAAAAAGAATAAAGTACCTAGGAATACACTTACCAAAGGAGGTGAAAGGCCTTTACTCTGAAAACGATAGGTCACTAAAGAAAGAATTTGAGCCTTAACCGGTTTGGCTCAGTGGATAGAGTGTCAGCCTGTGGACTGAAGGGTCCCAGGTTTGATTCCGGTCAAGGGCATGTACCTTGGTTGCGGGCACATACCCAGTAGGGAGTGTGCAGGAGGCAGCTGATCGAAGTTTCTCTCTCATTGATGTTTCTAACTCTCTATCCCTCTCCCTTTCTCTCTGTAAAAAATCAATAAAATATATTTAAAAAAAGAATTTGAAGAGGACATAAATAAATGGATGGATATATTGTGCTCCTGGATAGGAAAGATAAATATCATTTAAATATTCATACTACCCAAAGCAATCTACAGTCAATACAATCCCTAAAAAATACCAATGGCTTTCTTCTCAGAACTAGAAAATACAATGTTAAAATTTATATGGAACTACAAATGTCCATGACTAGTCAAAGCAATCTTGAGAAAGAAGAAAGTTGGAACTATCATGCTCCTGGATTTAAAGCTACATAACAAAGCTATAATAATCAAATCAGTATGGTACTGGAATGAAAAACAGACTCATAGATCAATGGAACAGAACGGAGAGCCCAGAAATACATGCAAAAAATGAAACTGGATCACTGTCTTACACCATTTACAATAATAAACTCAATGGATTTAAAGACTTATGACCTGAAACCATGAAACTCCTAGAAGAAAATAAAGGAAGTAAACTCTTTGACATCAATCTTAGTATTATCTTTCTGGATATGTCCCCTCAAGCAAGGGCAACAAAAACAAAACCAAATGGGACTACATCAAACTAGAATTCTTCTGCACAGTGAAGGAAACCATCAACAAAATGAAAATAACCCCACAACCTACTGAATGGGAGAATATATTTGCCAATGATACATCTGATAAGGGGTTGGTAACCAAAATATATAAGGGACTCATGTATTCCAATAACCAGAAAATAAACAATCTGGTCAAAAAAATGGGCAGAGGACATGAAGAGCCATTTCTCTAAAGAAGATATACAGATGGCAAATAGACATATGAAAAGATGCTTAACAGCACTAATTATCAGTGAAATGCAAGTCAAAACCACAATGAGATGCCACCTTGTACCAGTCAGAATAGCTATTATCAAAAAGTCAAGAACTAACAAGTGTTGGTGAGGATGTGGAGAAAAGGGAACCCTTGTACTATTGGTGGGAATGCAGATTGCTATAGCCACTATGAAAAACAGTATGTAGATTCCTTCAAAAAACTCAAATAGAACTACCATTTGACCCAGCAATTCCACTTCTGGGTGTTTATCCAAAGAAAACAAAAACACTAATTCAAAAGATATATGCACTCCCATGTTCATTTGCAGCATTGTTTACAATAGCCAAGATATGGAAGCAACTTAGGTATTCATTGATAGAATACAATGGAATATTACTCTGCAATAAAAAGAACAAAATGTTGCCATTTGCAATAGCATGGATGGATCTAGAGGGTATTATGCTAAGTGAAATAAGCCAGACAGACAAAGACAAATACCATATGATTTCATTTATATGTGGAATCTAAAAACAAAAGAAACAAAAAGACAGACTCATAGAAACTGATGATTGCCAGAGGAGAGGCAGGTGGGAGGAATGGGTGAAAAAAGTGAAGGGAAATATAGTCCATCTTGTGATAACTTTTCAAGGTGACAGATGATTACTAGACTTAGTATGGTGATCATAACTCATATATAAGGAATATAAAACGTTAAATCACTATTGTATACCTCAAATGAATGTGATATTGTATATCAAATAAAAAATGTCTAATACCATGATTTTTAGTAAATTTACAGAATTGTGGTTTCATCACCTCAATCTATTTTTAGAACAGTTATATTATTCTCCCTCATGGACCCTTAATCCCAATTCCCATCCTGAACTCCAAGTAACCATTAACCTAGTTTCTGTCTCTAATATATTTGCCTTTTCTAAACGTTTCATATAAAGAAAATCATATGATATGGAGTCTTTTGCCTTTGGGCTCTCTCAGCATAATGTTTTTGAGGTTCCTCCATAACGTTGCATATTTCAGTAGTCCTTTCCTTTTAATATGGAATAATGCTCCATTTTAGGGCCCTATGACATTTTGTTTATTTGGCCACTGGATGATGTATACTTGAATTTTTTCCATAGTGTGTCTATTGTGATGTTACTATAAACATTTATGCCAAAAATTTGAGTGAACATCTTTCCATTTTCCATGCTTTGCTACTAAGAGTGGACTTGCTGCATAATATGATAAAATTGTTTTCTTTAACTTGTTAGGAAATGGCCAAGCCATTTTCCAGAGGCTGCATTATTTTACGTTTCCACCAGCAATGAATGAAAATTTCTTCAATTTCTATTAAACTTTTGTTATTGTCTGTTTTTTAAAATATATATTTTTATTGATTTCAGAGAGGAAGGGAAAGAGAGAGACAGAAACATCAATGATGAGAATCATAGATCGGCTGCCTCCTGCTCGCCCCCTACTGGGAATCGAGCCTGCAACCGGAGCATGTGTCCTGACCGGGAATTGAACCATAATAGGTCGATGCTCAACCACTGAGCGACTGCAGCCAGGCTCTATTTTTTATTATAGCAATTCTAGCAGCTGTGCAGTAGTATCTCATTGTGGTTTAATTTGCATCACCCTTATGACTAATGATGTTGAGAATTTTTACATGTGCTTATTAGCCATTCTTGTCTTTGGTATAATGTCTATGCATATAGTTTATTTATATAGTGGGGTTGTTTGTCTTCATATTGTTGAATTGTAAACATTATTTATACATTGCAGATATAAATCCTTTATATGAAATGCGATTTGTGAGTATTTTCTCATAGTCAATGGCTTGTCTTTTTATTTCCTTAATTGTATCTTCTGACGTGCAATCATTTTAAATTTTAAAGAAATCCAATTTAACAATTTTTTTTGACTCATGCTTTTGTTGTCATATTTAAGGGCACTTTGCTTAACTCAAGATCATAAAGAAGTCCCAAGCAATAAAATATGAGGCAGATTTTTCCAAGCAGGTGAAAGAAACCAAAGGTAGGTACCATGCCTGTGTAACCTGATCTTGACTTAACCTTAAGCAGAACAAATCAAATTTTTAATCCTTACCTGAGGATATGTTTTTGTTGATTTTTAGAGAGACGAAGGCGGGGAGGGAGGGAAAGAGGGAGAGAGGGTGGGAGAAGGAAGAGAGAGAGGAGAAAGAGAGAAAGAGAGAGAGGAATAGAAACATCAATGTGAGAGAGACACATTGATTGATTGCCTCCTACACCCATCCCCTCAGTGTTCTGGCTGATGCTCTAACCACTGCTCAACCACCTGCCAGGGCATTCATAGTATTCTTTAATAGTCCTTTATATTGCTGTGGTATAAGTTGTAACTTCTCTTTCATTTCTGATTTTATATATTTTGGACACTTTCTCTTTTGTTCTTGATGATTCTGGCCAAAGGTTTGTCAAAGTTTTTTCTTATTTTTTTAAAGAACCAGCTTTGTTTCATTGATTTTTTTTTCTTTTGTTTTAATTTCTATTTTGTTTATTTCTGCTCTGATCTTTACTATTTCCTTCCTTCTACTTACTTTGGCTTTTTTTTCTAGTTCGTTTAGGCGTAATGTTAGGTTGTTTATTTTGGATTTTCTTGTTTGTTGAGGTAGGCTTGTGTAGCTACGAACTTCCTCTCAGAAATGCTTTCTCTGCATCCCATAAATTTTGGGGAGTTGTGTTTTCATTTTCATTTGTCTCAAGGTATTTTGGGATTTCCTGTTTGATTTACTCTTTGATCCTTTGGTTCTTTAGTGGCATGTTGTTTAGTCTTCAAGTGCATTTGTTTTTTCCCAGTTTTCTTCTTGTAATTGATTTCTCGTTTCATAGCCTTTGGTTGTAAAAGATGCATGACGTGATTTCAGGTTTTTATTTTTTATTTTATTGAGATTTGAAAAGAATGTGTATTCCGCAGTTTTTGGAAGACATGTTCTATAAATATCTGTTCAGTCAATTTGGGCTAATGTGAGGGTAAAGGGCATTGTTTCCTTGATTTTCTGTCCAGATGGTTTGTCCATTGATTTAAGTAGGTTCAAGTCCCCTACTATTATTGTAGATCGTCAATTTCTCCCTTTATGGCTGCTAATTTTTGTTTTATATATTTAAGTGTTTCCATTTGGGTGTATAGATGTTTGCTATTATTATATCCTCTTCTTTCATTGACTCCTTTATCATCATGCAATGTCCTCCTTTGTCTCTCTATTTTTCCCCCTCCCTTTGTCTCTCTTTTAAAAATGTATTTTTATTGATTTCAGAGAGGAAGGGAGAGAAGAGATAGAAACATCAGTGATGAGAGAGAATCATTGATCGGCTCCCTCCTGCATGCCCCCTACTGGGGATTGAACCTGCAACCCAGACATGTGCCCTGACCGGGAATTGAACCATGACCTCCTGGTTCATAGGTTGATGCTCAACCACTGAGCAACACTGGCCAGGCTCCTTCCTGATTCTTAAAAATTGATTTTTGCAGAGAGGAAGGGAGAGGTATAGAAAGTTAGAAACATCAATGACAGAGAAACATTGATCTGCTGCCCCCTGCATGCCCCTTACTGGGGATGTGCCTGCAACCAAGGTACATACCCTTGACCAGAATTGAACCCAAGACCCTTCAGTCCATGGGGCTGACGCTCTATCCACTGAGCCAAATCGGTCAGGGATCCTTCCTGATTCTTAATCACCACACTGTGTCTCTGCCCCTCCTACCAGTCTTGACATGGCTTCTTTATATCCTCAGTTACATGACTTCTGTTCAGCTAGTCTTCAGGTGGTTCTTAATGATGGTTGTTCTATAATTTAGTTGTAATTTTGATGTGGTCCTAGGAGGAGGCAAGCACAGCATTTATGTACTCTTCCATCTTGACTGGAAGTCTTAATTATAGTTGTTTTAAATTCCTGGTCTGATAATTCCAACACTGCTGCCATATCTGAGTCTGGTTCTGATGCTTGCTTTATTTCTTCAAACTGTTTTTTTTTTTAACTTTTAGTATGCCTTATAGC